ATAGATCAGAGTCACAGAACAGACTTGAGAGCTGAACTGCATCCCTGAATGACAGTATTCAAGCATAAAAACATGAACATTTGTTGCCAAGTTACAGTTACAATTCTCAGCAGTCAGAATTTAGAGATCAGGGGCTTCCTTGAATGTTCCATCATTGTCAACTGACATACAATGAAAGCTTTTCAGTCCAACCAATCAGATTAGTTTGTTCTTTCTGTTGTTGGAACAGTCATAATGTCTCTAGAGAACTAAAATCACATAACAACAATATGTATGGTTTAGGGATGAGGTGGGTCAGCTACTGGAAGGTTCCCAGCTCTCTTTGGCCTGGAAACCTGAACTTTGTTTTACCCTACAGGTAAAATGGAATCTGAAGTCAAAAAATGGCAGTACTTAAGACAGAGTGCTTGTTGCCTGTTCCCAACACCTTTAGTCATTCCTAACTAGGTCGTGCAGTTTCCTGGGTGCCAATGTAGTTTTCTCCCTGGCTGGGGATAAAACTACAGAGCCGGATAAGGCAAGAAAGTAAAGCGTGCTTTGAAAGAAGGTGGCCAAAAGAGAAGTCTTACAGCCTATTAGTTCCCACGAGAGGATAAGGGACAAAGGGTGTACTAAGAAAGGCCTTCTCCTCCCTTTGCTGAGATGTTAGGAGATCAGAGAAGTGACCAGGGAGAGGAGTTTGTGCCATATGACAGAATAGAGTGGAAATGCCACCATCCATTAACATGGGCAGGAATAAAAAGATGTTAATGATACTTTCCTATAGTAGACAGGAGCCCAATATAACCATCACCAGAGAAGCTTCATCCAGCAACTGATGGGAACAGATGCAGAGACACACAGCCAACATTAAATGGAGCTCAGAAAATCCTGCAGAAGAGGGGGAGGAAGGATTGCAGGTGTCAGAAGGGTCAAGGACACCACAAGAAAAACCACAGAATCAACTAACCTGGGTTCATAGGGGCTCACAGAGTCTGAACTGACAATCAGAGAGCCTTCATAGGACTGACCTAGGTCCTCTGCATATATGTTATGTATATATATAGCTTGCTCTTATGGGACTCCTAACAGTGGGAACAGCAACTGTCTCCGACTCTTTTGCCTGTTTTTGAGACCCTTTTCCTCCTACTGGATTACCTCATCCAGCCTTGATATGAGGGTTTATTGCTAGCCTTATGGTAACTTGTTACACTGTGTTTGGTTAAAATTGCTGGAAGGCCTGGCCTTTTCTAAGGGGAATGGAGGAGGAGGAAGAGGAGGAGGAGGAGGAGGAGGAGGAGGAGGAGGAGGAGGAGGAGGAGGAGGAGGAGGAAATGCTAAGGGGGAGTGGGCGAGAGGATGGAGGGTGAAACTGTGGTCAGGATGTAATATATGAGAGAATAATAATTTTTTAAAAAAAGGATGCTACAAACTCTTCAGACTCAGAAAAGTTATACCCATCTGAATGTTGCTGAAGGCATCACCCAAAAAGTCTGGTCCAGAGAGGGAACCAGGAGGACTAAGTGGGACCAAAGTCACCACTTTCTTAGTGTGTCTGATTATGTTTCCTCCAGCCTCATGCTCTCCTCTTGCCTCGAACCTTCCTAAAACCCTCCTGTGTCCTGTGCACATGGCCTGCCAAGTCCTCACCTGGGCATCCCACGGCCATCGCATCATGAGCTCAACGTGCCTTTCTGGATCGTCTCTGACTCTCCCTTCAGTCTAGCAGAGCAGACTTTGGTTGCATGCTTCCAGCCAAGTCTCACTTCCAAACTTACTCTTGAGATCTTTTTTTTTTTCTATCTAGCATGTGTTATCTTTTGAAAACTGGGCTGCCTGTCCATGATGAAGCCTTTCCTGGTCCCTCTTGCCTACCCTTTGACGCCCAGAACCCACTCTTTTCACTTCCTATAGCACTCACGACATCTTCTCTTGAGATCTGTTCATAACCGTCGTATTCCATTCTTCCAGACAAAAAGGTCCTTGAGAACTAGGGAAAGATGGTGATGGCAAACACATGTGCCTGGCTGCGCCTCCACTGCCATAGGGTGTGCATAGCCACACTTCTCCCCAGTGAAAAGCCAGAGTGTAGATGCAATCCCTCCCCAAAGTTACACCACTGAGTTAGGATCTCTCTGCCGGTGGTCCATGCTCTCAACTTTATTTAGACTACTTGCCGTGGAGGCAGAGGAACAGTTATCATGAAGCTCTTTCTGAAACAATTTAATTGACTTGTCCACTTATTCTTTGAGAGGCTTCGAACACTCACCGTGACTTCAGGTGGTCTTTGCTCACCTATAAGTCTTCGTGCATGTTCAGCATGGATGGTCACGGGGCCATTACTTATTCCAACCCTTGCATGGAGGCCTTACCACACAATCTTCATTACCTCCCGGATTCTGCCAACAACCTCTGAAGTCAGGCAAGACTCTCGCCATCTTGCAGATGACAAACTCACTGCTCGCTTCTTTGCTGTGGGTCGCCTGCCCATTAAGTAACAGAAACAGGACCTCATTCAGGGTTTACTGCCTGTGCTCTAAGAGCCTCACACTCCTGTCCCACCCTATGTGGACTGCTAGTGACATCAGAATCTTGTCACAGCCTCCAGCCGCTCACGTTGCCATCCTGCCTTGCAAGTCTTCCAGCTAGCTAGCCTTTCGGCTCAACACAGTGGTGTGCTTGCTGTCAGTCACTCAATGAACCATCAGCACCTGTTTTCCTTAGAGAGAGAGAGAGAGAGCCGAGACGACAGGCAGACATTGCATTTAACTTCTCGAGACCTCATCTTGATAATTCCTTAGAGGAGACCTCTTCAGGCTCCTTTCTTTAAGAGACTGTCAATGCCCTTGAACAACTGGTGAAGTAGAAATACCTTTGCCTGTGTCTAGGAATATGGGGTAAGTCCACGCCAATGGATCCTTCTATAGGACAGAAGCCCAGGGAATTATAGAGACTTCTTCAGCTTTTGACAGCTAAGTAACCCGCTTCCTAAAACAGTGGACCTCTGGAATGTTGATGTTGTGTTAACAGTGGTCCTGGGACATCGTCCAGGTTATTAATTCCAAGGACATGCCATCCGGGCATCACACAGGGTAGCACCTCTGCCAGCAGGATCAGTTTTCCTTTGCCACTTTGTGGCAAATGGGCGACTGGAGGCAGAGATTTCCGGCAGAGGGAGTAGGCTGGCCTGGGTGGCACCTGCACATTTTTATCTAAATCTGGGTACATGTGTGTGCAAAAACCTAGGTGTGGTCTATGAATACTGCCCAACTTCATCCACTCAACTGGACAGATCTTTACCCAGCACCTACTAACTGTCATCAAGAGTGCTGCAAACACGGCAAACAAAGGAGAGAAACAAGCAGGGCTAGCTCCTGGAGATTCTGTTTGCGGAGACACTGCGGACGCCTCGGCAATGGCAGAGCTGACTGTTTTACAGTTACTATTGTAAATGTGCCATCTTTACTCTCAATTTTAGATGGAAGGTAAACCCTAGACTTTTTCATTTGTTCATATTTTGAGCCTTTCCAAAAAAAATGTTTTTTATACAGTTCTTGATGGTACCCAACAAATCTGATGAATAGTGTGTCTGGTTCTTTGGGCCGTGTCAGCTGCGGCTGGACTGTAGGTGTCAGAACACAGGTAAAAGCCAGCCAGGTGAGGCTGTGGGGCACAGTGGCTTTCTCTCTTACTGGAGGGCTGGCTCCCTACACAGCTCCTTCCTTCTCTTCTGCCTTTCAGACGGCAGGCAGGGCAACACAAAGCAGGAAGAAGGCAAGTGCTGCACCCCACTTCTAAGAGGCCCGCCTTAGAGTGTACCGCTCCCCCTTCTGCCCAGCACCCCGGCAGAGCCTGGATGCAGGGGATGCAACCCTTCCTAAGGCTGCAGTTCGCCGCCTCTGTGGCAGACTTCCCACCCGCTGGGCAAGCAAAAGAGAGCGCCTTAGACACTTCCTTTTATTTTCTTTGTTTCCCTAAACCTCGGTCACATTTGGTCAAACCCACTTTTCCTACTCAAAGGAGGGGGCCCGACTTCTTTTATGATGGCTAGGGAGGAGGGGCAGAGTGTGGAAGTACAGGAGTGTAGACTTTAGATCTAGTTTCACCTCTGGTGTCATTCTTTTCTCTCCTAAATCTAACTTAGTTTAGCATGTTTAAAGACCTTCACCCAACAAAACATAGTAAATACATATTTAAATGGCCAGCATGTGTTTGCTGTACTGGCAGTGAAGTGACCATGACTCACTTTAAAGGACAATTTAACTTTGCCTAGGACAGTTGCATATGCAAAACGTTAGGATGTCACTGATATTAATTTTCCTAGATAATACAAACACCAAATCCTTAACCAAAGGCATTCTAAAAGCTTGGAGTGAAGTCTTAGGATTTTAAAGAAGTTATAAGATTTTCCTCCCTTTGTGCCTAAGTTCTCTGCGTAAGGTTGCCAATTTAGGAGGCATGGTATCCAATAAGCCTTGAATTTCAGATAAACATATTTTTTGTCATTATATGCGAATCTAAATATTCCCAAGACATACTAAGAAAGTCTTTGTTATTTAGCTGAAATCCACGTTTAGCTGAGTGTCCTGTATTTTGACTGGCAGCTCCACTTTTCCCTAACAAGAACTCACAGTTTACTGAGCATCGGCTTTTGTTCCCAAATGGGACGCATTCCCCGCCCCGCACACTGTCCTTAGTGAAGCTGCTGCTGCCAGCAAGTAATCTGAGACCTCTGGAAACCAAGTAACTTGGCTGAAGCTGGAGCTGCAGATACAGTTTTCAAATTCAGGCTTTTCTGATGCCACGGCCCAGACTCTGTCCTCCAGAGCGGTGGTTCTCAACCTTCCCAATGCTGTGACCCTATAACATGCCGTAGTGACGACTCCCACCCCAAGCGTAAAATTATTTGTTGTTGCTTCTTCACAACTGTGATTTTGCTACTCTTAAAAATTGTAAATTTTGGAGACAGAGGTTTGCCAGAGGGGTGGAGCCCCCCAGGCCTCATGAGAAGTGATGGATGATCAGTATTTAAACAATGGATTGGATCTGGCATCGGTTGAATATTTATTTGGCTTTTCCACTTGAAAGAACAAGGCATATAGAAACGATGTAGGTGAGAAAGAGACATCTTCTCCGTTTCCACATATTATTTAGAAGGAGCGGCGTCCCCTCTAAAGCATTTAAAGGAAATGACACTCCAATTCATAGTAAGAAACACATTTTCTAAATCGACTTTGCCAAAGCAGTGTAGGTTTGCAGCGAAACATCGCCCTCTACTGGACAGACTGGCATTCTGCAACGGTGGTAGATTCAAAACAGAACAAAAGTTAATTCTATTAGGTGTCAAATCCCATTATGAATAACTGCTATCAGGCGTCCTTCAGTGTGGCTCTTGACACTGGAAGCAGAGAACTGATGACTTTCCATTTGCTTCTGGTGGTGGCTGAATGAAGAGCGCGGAATGAGCACAGCGCCGACTACAGGGCACACTGGAGTAGTCCTGTTTGGGGACTATCGAAATCGTCAGAATGAACCAGCCCCAGCGAATACAGAGAGCGTCACACGGAGAGGACCCATGAAGGGAGAAGACAGCCTGTGCTGCTGAGCAAGGGGCCTGTGAGTAAGATAAACCTCATCTGATTGCCTTCCCTTCCTACTGTAAGCCAGGCGGCCCTTAGAGAGTGATCTGAGCCCAACCATTGTGTGTGTGTGTGTGTGTGTGTGTGTGTGTGTGTGTGTGTGTGCATGCACAAAGGAGTATGGAGGTCAGAGACCAACCTTAGCTCTCGTTCCTCAGATGCCATCCACTTTGGTTTTTGACACATGGTCTCTCACTTGGCTTGGAACTCATCAGACAGGCTGGGTGGCAATACTACTACGTGAGCTTTTATTTTATTTTATTTTATTTTGTGGGTTCTGGGTATTAAATTTAGGTCCTCATGTTCACACAGCAAGCTCTTTCACCTAAACTCTACAAGCCTCCGTTCCCTCATCTGATCACTGGTTACTATGGAAGTAGGCACTGAGTAGGTGGTGGGAGGATGAGGGGTAGCATCTGCTGTGGTTGATGTCTGTGCCTTCCTCAGACTTATATGAGGAAATCCTCAGCTTCACAGTTAGGAAGTGACAAGGCCATGATGTCAGAGAGTCGTGAATGGAACCGTGTCTTTATAACCGAGGCCACAGAGGACCCCTCACCTCCACTCACATATGCAGGAAGAAGCAAATAACCGACGTGGTCACGTGCTCCTCCACCAGACACAGACTCTGCTGCCATCTTGATCTTGGACACTCCAGTCTCTAGAACAGTGAGAAATAATTTCAGGTTTTTATAAGCAGCTCAGCTTATGCTATTTTACCATCGCAAGCCAAGTAAATGAAGACACTCTTAAGAAAGGTAGTGTATCGCTAAGTCAGACTCAGTATATATGCAATAGAACTTCACTGCTAGCTCTGCCAAAGCTAGTTAAATCTTAAAGCATAAACATCCGTGGACTGGAAACCCCCCCTAAATTCATGTGCTGATTCCTGATCTCCTATGACAGTCTCAAGAGGTGGGGCCTCTCCAGTGGGATTAGAGACCTTTTAAAGTCTTCCTAGAGACTTCCAGCCCCTTCTCCTCTGCAGTACTATAGCCACAGTAGAGGTAGCTACCTAGGCCCCGGAGAAGCGTCTTCACGGACCCTACCAGCACTTTAGTCTTGGGTTCCCCAGATTCCAGAACTGCGGGAAATAAACTGACCTTGTTTATATGCTTCCTGGTCCAAGACACTTTGTTATAGCTGCCTAGATAGGCTAAGGCACTTTTTCTCAACTCCCCCTTTTCCTGAAGTTTTCCATGCTTGCAGAGTTATGACAAACAGAAGATTTAAGTTCATCAAAATTTTAAATCAACATTTTTTTAAGGAAATCAATGTGACTTGGCAAAGATATTTTGGAAAAGAAACTGCAGAAATACATCAAACTGTGGAATGTGTGCTGAAGGTAGTCTACTCGGTTAACTGACGTTCCTGGAGAGTTTTGCTCACCTTAAATATTCTCCAAGGCTGACTGACTAGAGCTTCAGGGACTGCCTGGAGGCAGGAAAGGTTGGGTTGCTGGACTGGAGCCTAGCCATCTTGGGCTATCATAGCCCCTTAGTGATTGCTTGCCTACCTGTGTGTGTATGACCTGACATCCTTGTAAATCCTTGGCAAATCTAGCTGGAAGGTACAAACAGTCCCTCACTATCATCAACCTAGCCTAGAGGCTAGGAAAGTCATCGGAGAACATCCGAATCCTGCTATTATGAGATAACACTTTGCTGTAACTGACTTTCCTGATGTTTCTACCAATGTATTTGAAAAGCAGCTTCATGTATGACTTTCTTTGAACCTATAGAAACTTCATGAGAACTGTTACATTTGAACCTGGTATTCGAGGTCATCTAATTCTGAGTTCCTGGGCCACTCATTCTTAGCTCTAGAATAAATCACCTCTTTCTCCCTTGGAGATGAGAATTGTGAATTGAGAAATTTTTATGCTGTTGCTTTAATTTTCAAAACTAAAGAAGGGGATTAAAACATATAAACATCTCTACCATGTTAAGCATATCCTAAGATATGGTCAACTGTACATTTGACTTTTTGGAGCTGTCATTACTGGAAATGACATATCAAGGGCTGTCCCTTGCAGGGTTCCTTCTGTTTGGTGGGACCCACATCTTCACATCCCCCTTTACCAGTGTCACAGACCAAAGCACCTGTAGAGACTGTTAATGGTAAAAATAAAATGGTGCCATTCCCTTGAGTGGATGCAGTGGGCAGTGAGTCCCAAGACCATGGCTGACCATGAAGGCAGCCAGTCCCAGGCAGGGAGCCACATGGGTAAGAGACAGAGACATTAACAGGTACACCATGCAGAGAAAGTGGGTATATTAGTGGGCTATGGAGGGGAAGTGGGGAAGGGGAGAAGAGAGAAGAGAAGGGAGAGAGAGAGAGAGAAAGAGAGAGAGAGAGAGAGAGAGAGAGAGAGAGAGAGGGAGGAAGGGGAGACGTAGAGAAGGGAGAGGGGCAGAAGCTGCCTCTTCGGGAGAGAGATGAAAAGGAAGGAACTCAGGCTGGAAGCCGAAGGAAGATCTGCTTGCCTCAGTAAACAGGGAAAGCATAGGGTTATGTAGAGAATGCTGTGAGGATTCAAACAATTTCAACTATGTCCAGAGCTTTAGAAGCAAGGCCAACAAAAATAGTGACAATGGATAGCTATATTGCAGGTGTTTGAATACTGTTGTAGCGCTTTAGCCATTTGGGGCAAATGACTCCAGGCCATGCTCCACCAAACTAAGATTCACAGGAACTAGCAACCTGGCCAAGATTCAGGGTAGGATTGACAGCTTGGGTGTGGGTTCTAAACAGGCCACTCCACACTGGAGCTCAGTTGGAATTCTTTGAATAGACTTTCCACCTGTCAGGAACTTATATTCACGTGTCACATGACAGAGTGCAAAAGGAGATGATGAATGGGCCACACGCCAGGTTTTACTTCAGATGACCTCTTCTGGACCCCTGAAACTTCAGTTACAGACATGTGAGCCGCCATGTGGGTGCTAGAAACACAACCCAGGTCCTCTGGAAGACTAAGGTGTTCTTAAGAATTGAGCCATGGCTCCAGCCCCACCTGGTGGGAATTTTAGGAGGCTGCACATTCTCATAGTTGGCAACGATTTTTGTCTTTGTTTTCTTGAGACAGGGTTTCTCTGTGTAGCTTTGGAGTCTGTCCTAGAACTCACACTGTAGACCATGCTGGTCTTGAACTCACAGAGATCCGCCTGCCTCTGCCTCCTGAAGTCATGCACCACCACCACCAGGCAGTTGCCAATGTATTTTTAAACAGGGCTCGTGGGTAGGTCAAGCCTCCTTCTGAACAGGTAGGGAGTTAAAGGTATTTTCTCCATATACAAAATACAGAGTGTGATGGAAGGGACTGGATTGATATCCCTGACTCCCGACTTCCTGCCCAGAAACCCTTTCTCAATGTAAGAGAATGGAGACAAAATATCTCCACTTTGTAAAGCAAGACGTAGTTGCGTTGGGGGAAAGGGTGTCCCTACTGATAGCACAGCCCTCAGGTATGAAAGAACTTCGGAAGAGGTGAGGATGAAAACAGGAATGGCTTCATCAAAATTCCCTGGCAAAAAAACACCCTGCTCCAGCAGTCTCTGAAATCTTTATCCAAAGAATGAGCTCTATTGATTGGGAAACAGTGCTCAGGGCTAGGGCCGAAAAGGATCTCTAATAAGCATAAGGATGGATTCTATTGCTAGGGGCTGCAAGAGTACTCTTTCACAAAGAGAGGAGTTCAGAGGTGCTTAGCTCCTAGAATAACAAGGGAACCCAGGTCACAGTCTAGGTGACCAGGCACTCTCTTCCTGCAGTAGAGGGCAGGCCTGCTGCAGAACACTTCCAGCTCCTCCACTGCTTCTCTAGGCTGTGCTCCCTACACAGTTGCATAAAAGAAACCTAGACATGGGCTTTCTTTCTTTCTTTCTTTCTTTCTTTCTTTCTTTCTTTCTTTCTTTCTTTCTTTCTTTCTTTCTTTTTTTTTTTTTTAACCTAGATTTAAAGTCAGGGTCTTTCTGGGAACTATTTCAGGACAGAAGTTAACTGCATTACGATATCAGTTACTGTTCTCCAGAGAAACCAACTCAGTTAGGTGTGTGTTATACAATCCACTCAACTAGATGTCACAGTGTAGACATCAATAACTCTGCTGAAGTAGACTCTGGCAACACAGCCCAACCATTAGATGCTGATTTACTGATCTACTTAGTAATTTTAAGCATTGTTCCTACTGTCTATTTTCCAGGCATGACTTGTTACCTAAAGCAGAATGACCTGGAGGAACAGAAGAAACAATGGTCGTTGTCCTTAACAACCCACTGACTGCTGCTTACACCTAATTTTGCTTGCCTGCAGCCCTATCTGTGGTTTTAGAGTAATTTGAACCAGACCCAATCCCGAGGCCTTGGCTACTGTTATGCCCAAATCTGCGAAGTCTCCCAAAGGCCAACAAGGAGACCGAGTCCCGTATGTAGAAGCAAAGAGCCTTTATTTTGTGCAAGTTTGCAAACTTGATCTCTCAGCATGTCCAACGTATTGGAATAAACGAAGAGCCCCGAGCTCAGTTATGAGTTGAGTTTTTACACTAGTAAAAGTGGGGGTGAAGGGTTTCTGAGGTTCAGGACCCCTGATTGGCTGACATTTGTCTAGGGGTGTCCTGGTGCGTGTGTGCTGGCAGGTGATCCTATCTACAGTGGTTGGAAGTTAGGCATTTCCTTTGGTCTGGTGGTGCTGAGGGTAATCTCAGTTTGTGGTTCTTTCTGCAACCAGGTATTGCTTCAGGGTAAACTACTGAGACTCTGGCCTATTAAATTTATGGATGACTGAGTCTTACTCTGGCAGTTGATAAGGGTTGGAAGTAAAGAACTTCCTTCGGGTGATCTGTTCATATTTAGCTTATCATGGCTGGCTCCTACAGTGACAGAGCCTCTCTTCCACTCTTACCAGTTCCGGCATGGTTTTTTCAGGATTCTGGGGACATTACCGATCAGAAAACAAAGGGGCAGAAGATGGCTCATCTGGCAAAAGTCTGGTGAACTGAGTTGGATGCCCATGTAAAGGTAGAAGGAGAGAAATAAATCTAGGTGTCCTTTGACCTCCCAACATAACCACGGTGCTCACAAAGTAATAGTACACTTTTAGTTTCCAAAATAGTTTGCTTTCCACAACTTTGATGTCACCTAATAGAACCAATTTACAAAGCTAAAGGGTTATTTGGCTCCTAGGTTCATAAACTGTTGGGTCTTTGATATTTATTTTCAAGGAGACACCAGCAGATGTCAGCAAAAACTAAGGTGTCACATGAACTTTCAATAAACACTAAGTTTTTTCACAGGGTGACTATGATTTAAGTGGGAAGTTTCACATGAAAGGTTGGTCCAGCTAGGACCAGCCACCTTGTTCGGCACAGTCAACCAACCTCCCTTTTGGGAGGTTGAGAGAGGTGTGAGTAGAGAAATATGGATTTCTGGGAGGTAAAACTTTCCCAAAGATTCAAATGTTCTTGTTAAACAAACCTAACAACAGATAGGGATTCTTTCCAGTGGTAAGCTGGCTTAGCTGATAAAGTGCTTGCTGCTCACGTAAGGATGGGTTTGGATCCCCAGCACCCACATTTGTGGTTGTGGTAGCCACCTGTAATCAGACTAAGGGTGACTCCCTGCATAAGCTGACCAGCTAGAACAGTCCAATCAGCAAGCTCCAGGGCCAGGAAGTCATCCAGCCTCAATAAATAAAGTGGCAAGGAATAGAGGAGGCATCCAAGTCAATCTGGGGCCTACACATCCACGTGCACACGTACACACACACACTTAAAATAACAGCAAGCCTGCATTGTTTCTAAAATAGTCTTTATTAGTTTACTCAAGATCAGATATACATTTGTCTACAAACGCTGCAATATGCTCATTGTTTGGTCCCCAAATGGACAAAGAACAAACAGCAAAACTGTTCAAGATGTTTCCCCTTGGAAAAAGTTATTACTGTCTACAAAAAGATCTGTTCAAAGGAATGCTGAAATATAGCCATTTTATATAAGGTCTTTCTCCATTAGAAATAGACTCGCGCTGTAAGCAAAAATAAATGCCTACAACTTGGCAGTGTGGTGACAAATGCATGTCAGCCTGGGAAGGCTGAGGTAAGAAGTCTGCAGGGCTCCCAGGCCAGCCTCTGCTATAGAGCAAGGTCCTGCTGCAAACAAAACAAAACAATACACACAAAAAATGCTCTGAAGAGCACAAGCACATTTAGGAATCAAAGGAGAAACAAGAAAAAATGACTATAATCAAAGGATCCTAAGGATCCATTTAAAACTGGAGTCTACCTATACCCCTACAAAATAGTTAAACTTAGGGAAAAAAAATCCTGCCTTTTAATTTAAAAATGTAGTTAAAGCTTTATTGATACTACTCAGCTGAAATTCAGATCCAAGAACTATCAGTTTCTGATAGCTGGGCCAAAGAAAAAACTTAAAAGAACATTTAATTCCAAGTTAAAATTTTTATCAAAGAAAAACCAGTGAGTGTAGAGATAAGAAAATGAACAAAAAAATGGTATTCTAATGGTCAATTCAACTCACTACACCCATACAGATTTCTCTCCAGAAACTTAAGTTCTACTTTCTCTCTCTACTTTTTTCATCACCCCCGCAAGTGACATTTTCAGAACTCTCACTCAAATGTGTGAGCCAATGGGTATGTAGTTCTCAGAGTACAGAAATAATGCTGCAATGATTTTAATAAAAATGGCCCCATTGGCTCACACATTTGAAGGCTTAATCACCACCGAGAGGTACTTTTTGCTAAGGTCTTGTTGGAGGAAGTGTGTCACCGGGCATGATGAGCTTTGAGATTTCCCAAGTCCAGGCCAGGCCCAGCCTCTTTCTCTGCCTGTGGATAGGGATGTAAAGGTCTCAGACACTGCTCTAACACCTGACGGCACACCACCAGCTCTCTACCACAGTGGCCTAAGCCTCTGAACTGCAAGTGAGCCACAAGAAAATGCTTCCTCTTCTAAGAGCTGTCCTGGCCATGATGCCTTCGCGGCAATGGACAGCAACAGCGACAAAAACCTACTTTACTCATCATGTACTGTGTTCACGCTTTACATGGAAAAAGAGGAAGGAATTCTCCCCAGGGACTAATTTTCATAAAGAACATGAAAGCCAACAGCATGAGCATCTGTACTCATCTCTAGTCGGAGGAAAAGAACTGTATCTTAGCACTCAGGAATCTAGGCCATTTCTAAAGCAGTCTAACATCCAACAACTCTGTTGCACTGAGATCACTTTTTTGTCACAGGCCCTGTTCCCAGCTATGGGCTGGGCCTATCTGCACAACAGTGCAGGGCCACAACACCAGAAATGCTAATAACCAAGGGGGATGAGGACTGCTATATGGCCTTTAAATATCCATCAAAATAATACAACTTGTAGCTATAAATGGACATGAAAATAAAAGTTTATGTACTCAGAACTGAAGTTTTATTTTATTGCCAAAAGTAGTCTGAAGTATTTGTCCGTTTTGTTAATAACATACTAAACAGGAACTTTTCTGACCAGTCCAGTGTTGCAAAATATCTATTTACAATAAACAGCCTTGAATGGGAAGGTTTCACCATCACTTTTCCTGGGACAATCTTTCTGCTCACCACAGCCTCTTTCCTCAGCGATGTGGGCAGCTTCCAGCATCAGGTTCCTCAAGGCATGTCTGTCTCCGGAACAGCAATGGCAGCAAGACTCCCATGACCAGCGACGTCAACAATTCCATTCACGACTGATCCAAATTTACATCCACAATGCTCACTGCTCACTTCTTTGCTGGCCAGGTATTTGGGTGATCACTTTTGTAAAATATCATATGGGTGACAAGGAGATAACAGACCATATGCTTTGCTGTAAGTGAATTAAATAACAGGTGTACAGAGAGCAAACACTGGCAGAACGGAAAAGCAGCTCACGATTGGCACAGAGCACGAAGCACAGCCGCTAAGCACACCCTGACTTCTGCACTGCTGAGCTACAACTCCATGCAGCTAATAGTAAACTGAGGGAAACACAAATCTAGGAGATGGGCAGGATTCAACTAAACCCTCACTACTGAAGTCTGTGCATATGGAACCCTAAGAGGTGCAAACTACCTACACTTGTTAGATCGGCCCAGACAGGCTTAGAGCTGGCTCTGGAGAAACAACCCATCTAAATTTAGATCAAATAAACAACTGTAAAGCACCCCCGATGCAACCAAATTCACACTGAAGTATTTCAGATTTATTTTCCAACGTTAAGCTATAGTTGCATTTCAAGCGACAGGACTTTAGAAAGAGAGAAAGGAGTTTTAAAGACTCATAGTTTTATACTATAAATTACCCAGCATGTTTATTATGGATTATTTCTCCTCCTTCAATCTCTATTTGCTCATACAGCCACTTGCGGTCACAGCGGCACTCTGCTCCGCATTTGGTGGACCCACAGGTGGGGCAGGCGTAGAAGCATCCCAGGCAGTCCTCGTCAAGGCAGTCGCAGAGGTCCATGCCACTGAAAATCAGCAGACCCTGGCTGTCATAGACTTTACTCTTTGCTGGAATAATTTGTCTGTAAAATAAAACAGTGAGCTGCACTTCATACATGCTATCTTTAAATATTTAGTTGAAAATAAGATAATGAAAAAATTAAGCAGATAAATACTTTTCTGTAGGGATCAGCACATCATTTACCAGGCTCTGGCCTAATTCATACTCTGCAGAAGAAATTTCAGATGGGAGGAGGTGACCCAACTAGTGCTGAAAGTCAAAAGGCACTCCAGTGGCTCAGACGGTAAACAGATGGCGTACAAGCCTGATAACTGAGGTGCCTCCTGAACCCAAAGCAAGAGACAAAACAGACTCCGGTTTTCCTGACTTTCACACAGGCATCTGCATACATACACACACTCGGATGTATGCACACGGCTTCACACAGCTTACACAGGAATGGCAGTGACTTGTTTCACTAGTTACCAAATGACAGACACTGCTTGTGAACACAGGACACAACCTCTAGAGGTCTTACACTCTAATCAATCTGTTTTGTGTTTCTTAATGACTTCTGGCAAATCTGGTCTGAAAATATCTCACATCAATCAATGGAAAAACTTATGAGAAGGAATAAAGGTAAAAATGTTGATTTCAGTTAGAAAATAGCCTGACCTGTTATAATAAATTTGTCAGTATTTTTTGACATACTTAATTTAAAGATATATTATAAAAAACTTAGTTCTTGTTCTTTCTGTTGACTGTACTAGAACTGTATGTCTACTTTGGACCTGTGCAAAATCGAAAGTACTCTTGGGCTCTCATAAGTGCAATGACCTTTTTGGTCAGCTCTCTCCCAGGAAGCAGAGATCATCAGTAGCAAATTCTGCAAACAGTAACTTTGCCAAACTCTAAGGTATTTCTTTAACTGTTTTAACTCTCACTCCAAAACATTACATCATTTACTTTATGCTACCCTCCAGAAAGCTTCTGGAATTCCAATAGATGCTTTACTTTCCTATGAGTAACAGCCAAGGCTTTTGGAAGGTTTTTACTAATTCTGAATACAACGTAGAATGACTGGTCAGAAAACTGAAAGTTAAGAGAAAAACATAGATACCATGCCTCTGGAACAGTTAACAGCTCCAGATGACGGCCAGCAGCCTACCTGTCAGAGCCAGCGCTCGAGTTCTTGGTGAGCTTCCTTTTCTCCCTCTTTCCACTTTCTGGAGCAAATTCTGTCTGCTTTCCCGGGTTTGTGAACTGCAGGGAGCGCAGAGCTTTAGCAGTTCTTCCCTGGATGGAGGAAGGAGATCAGCGCGTCAGTTAGTCTCACACCAGACAGGAGGACTTCACTTAGCACCGACCCCGAGCAGCCCCACTGGGGAGGGTGCGTGGGAAAATCCACTCTTCTAGTTTATATGCCATCTTTACTATTAATTATCTGCACTGCTTTTGCTATTTGAGTCTCTTGGACTACAGGTGCCAGAGACCGGCACACTGAGGAGAGCCATAGCTGTCAGCACAAGGAGAGACGACAGCAAAAGACATCACACACCCAACAGCACAGAACCAAGGTTCCAAATAACAATTCTTTAGGAGGAGAGAAGCAATTAGGCTTCATGTTCTAAACTATGTAACATTTTTTTAAGGTTTTGACAAAACAAAATTCTGATGCTTAAGGATTTAAGTCTGTTATTTGAGGCGGTAAAAATAAGTGGTCTTTTGGAATGTTTTTATACATCCAAAGTCAAGAATAAGTTGTTTTTCAAGGCGTTCTTATACTCCTAAAGTCAAGACTAAATGATGGGGGTTACTGGCCATGAAAAGACAATGGAATGAGGTGAAGATGCTGAAGGGATAGTCAGCAAGTGTCTACGGTGACCTTCAGATAGTGCTGGTCCTGGAGACGGGCCCGAGAGAAACACAACATACACAACTCAAAATGATAGCTGTTCATTAATTCAGCAAGAAGGAGAAAACCGAGAAAGTATGCTAGCATCAAAAATTATACAATGCTTATGAAGAGGAGCTCTGAGAAGTGCTCTGAGAGGATAAACGCAGCTTCTCTGATACAGTCAAATGACCTGCATAAAGGCAGGTGGACAGGGAAGAGGCAAACAATATCTCATACTTTACAATGCAAAACCGTGCGGTCTTTGAGAACAGGAAGCCCTAAGTTTAACCTTAACCATATCCAGAATTTAGACACAGAAGCTTTATAAAAAGTCACAAATGGCTGGGTGGCGGTGGTGCATGCCTTTAATCCCAGCACTCAGGAAGCAGAAGCAGGTAGATCTCTGTGAGTTCATGGCCAGCCTGGTCTACTAGAGCTAGTTCCAGGACAGGCTCCAAAGCTACAGAGAAACCCTGTCTTGAAAAACCAAAAAAGTCACAAATATTTAAAAATCTTTAACAAGGAAGAATGGGATAATTTCAAAGGAGAAAAACTGCAATTAAACTCAATGACTTTTGGACACTGTGATTCATGCCTGGGATTCCTAGTTCCCGGGAGGCTGACAGAATCATTGCCATGAGATTGAGGCCAGTTTTGACTACATGGAGAGGTCCAGGCCAGTAAGCTACAGAGTCAGCCCCCATCCCAAAACCAGAAGAAATTAATCATATCAATTATAAACCAGGTCTTTGATATTCTCTCTCTCTCTCTCTCTCTCTCTCTCTCTCTCTCTCTCTCTCTCTCTCTCTCTCTCTCTCTCTCTCATTCCTGCACACAAAGAGACATTCTTCCTGGTATAATCTCTCCAGTAGGTGACATCCATTTAGCTACTTCAGTATCTGAAAAGGATCCAAGTTCCCCGAGTAGGCCTCTGCCAACGATCTAAAGGCTATTCCTAATGTCTCCTTCCTAAGGTCCAAGAATACAAGCTGCAGCCTTGGAGTCTAGGGCACATTAGGTTCTTTCTTTCTAAGCCCTTGTTTAGTGTTTATTCCGGACCTTGAGAGTATGGAAACATTTTGAAACATAATTTTATTTCACCTCAACTTTAAATCTGTTATATGCTAAGGAATGTGATAAAAATGTAAATATAATTCTTTACAGTTACTCTGTCTAGCTTAAGTCCCAAACTGTAGAAAGCACAAGAGCATCTATACATACATCTGACTCCGGTTTCCGTCTCTGGCGATCATCTGAATCAACATCCACACTTCCATTAATAATCTGGGTACATTTTGGGCAAAGCTTCCAACCAGGTACCAGCTGTCTTCCAAACTTTGCGCTCAGAAACGTGGCATCATCTAAGTCAATTACATGCAGATTCTTTTTGGCTAGCTTTTTGTGTATGTTAAACGGGTCACAACATGACTTCTGTAACTCCTCAAATCTGTCAATATAAATTTTTACATGATGAAAACAAATTGTATTATTCCCAGAGAGGGTCATTCCAGTCCTAAGCTGAAGTAGAAGCATGTCATTTGATGACAGTTCCTGCAAAGTCTTGAAACCTGTGTGCCGAGTATAGAAGGTTTTATGGCAGTCTTGTGTGGTCCGAAGCTGGACTCCAACTGAACATGGATCCATCATCCTTGAGTCTAGCACGTTTCCCTTGTTTTCTTTGTCTAGAAATTTCTTTGGTAGGTTAACCTAGAGAAAACATTAAAGACAGATTTGTACTAAAAACTGATTTGGAAAACTGCAAAAAATAGTAAAATGTAGCACTTCCTTAGAAATCAGAAGTAAAACACAGCAAACAAGTAGGAAACACCATAGCCCAGGGTAAGTAAGAATGTAATCAGTCCCGGAATGTGAGAAACAGTCCTTGTCAGGTCAGAACTACACCAGAACACTCCGTCACAGCACAACTGAAGGTCACATTACATGATGTAAGGAGAGAAAGAGAAGAAACAAGAACCAGCAGAGGTGCAACAGACAATGCTTTACACAATATACGAAAGCCGCAAAAGACACACGACACCTTATGGAATTCTACAAATTCAGTACCATGTTAATCTATAAAGACAACTGGAAATTCTACCCCATCATGCTGGAGTTAACTGGTCTGCATGAAAGAGAAAAGGTCCAAGAAAGTGTGGAAGAAAACAATGGCTGATTTACTAGAAAGATAATTAAAGACAGTATGATACTGCTGTAGTATAGACAAACACAAACTGATTGGGGTTTGTTGTATAATGTGATACTATAAATAGATGGGCATTAAAAATCAAAATGAAAAAGATTTTTGGCTAGCAGGGGAAAAGACAAATTAGAACTCTTCTGGATGAACAAACACCAGCTATAGATCTACGGATGAAGAATCACACACACAAAGCTTAAAGGCTAAAATCTTTACAAGAAAAGACAGAAGGCTTGAGACCACTGCAGTATGACTTCGTCCTCTGGGCATAGTATGACCATCCCGTGGCCATCTTGGAGTGGTGATTACTTTGGTCTGGTAACCATAGCAACTAACTGACAGTGAGGCTAGAAGCACACACAGTGACACGGAAAGTGCTAGGTTAACTGAAGAAAGGATTCAAGGATAAAGTCTCCAAGCAGCTGTCCCTTACGATGGGGCGAGCCTCTGAAATGATGTAGCTGTTTCAGGGTTACCTACGTTCGTACAAACGACCTCATCGATATTCTATAACATAAGCCAAATAAACTCACTGGCTCACCAGGATAGATCATTATTTAGATTTGGGGTTGGTGTCCCACCTGTGGTAAACAATGTGCACTCAGGAAAGTTAATGAAACAAACCGTGCAGTCAGCTGTGCAAGTATTACGATGGCCTGAAATCGGCTGAACAAGCAGAGAATACACTGTAGTCCTTGAGAAAGCCTTGTGGGATGAGACTACCAGTGATTCACGATGGCAGTTGCGTGGCTGTTGCTATGTATAAGACACCCAACTTGGTGGCTGATCTGGGTGAAAGAGAGAATGAGAAGGAAGTGCTGGTTGCCACTTCTTACAAGGATCCAAAAACTTGGAACCGAAGGAGAAAGTCTAGGTTAGTGAAGGAGAAAACAAGGTAGAAATGATCACAATTCAGTATGCAGAGGGGATCCTTAACAATGGCCTGGAACAGGAAACTCAAGAGCATTCTGCCCAGAACTCCCTAAATAAGGCCTAAGGCCCTGGGTTCAATCCCCAACACTGTATAAACAGGAGTGAGGGAACACTCCTACAATCTTAGCACTGGGGAGGCAGAACTGTCAGAAATTCAAGGTCATTCTCAGCTTCTAAGAAGGCTGTGGAGGCTAGTCTGTTTCAAAAGAGGGAAAATGTTATTTCGGAACTCAGGAAGTTTATTTTTAGAAATCCCAGCTCGTAGAGTACTATAATATTTGAAAGGTCAGGACTGGAGAGATGGCTCAGCGGATAAGAGCATTGCCTGCCCTTCCAAAGGTCCTGAGTTCAATCCCAGCAACCATATGGTGGCTCACAACCATCTGTAATGAGGTCTGGTGCCCTCTTCTGGCCTGCAAGCATACAAGCAGATAGAATACTGTGTACATAATAAATAAATAAATAATAAATATTAAAAAAAATTGAAGGGTCAATTGTTAAACTGCTGTCTGATCACTGCATCTTTAAAAACGTGTATAGGTTTTTTGCCTGCATGGAAATCTGTGTACAGGGTCAGTGCAATGCTACAAAGTGAAGCACTGGATGCCCTGAAATGGAGTTCCAGCTGTGAGCTGCTAGGTGGGGGCTGGGATTCAATCTAAATCTTGTGGAAGAGCAGCTGGTGCTCTTAACTACTGAACCATCTTCCTAGTCCCAGTCACTGTACTGTCTTAAAGTAAGGATCTCTCTGGTGTCACCGTTAAAGGAGAATTGTCTATAGTTGTTACCAGATACAGGATTATCAGTCAACTTTGTCAATTTGTGCTTCTGATATGCATTAAAAGATTTTATTTTAATCATGCCCTACATATTGCTAACAGGTTAATCCCACCTGTCTCAAATTATATCTAACTGGGCAATCCTGTACCTTTATCTGGTAAATTTGACATCCCCATTTTCAGAGCCTTCTAGTCAGCACAGAGCCTTTGCTAAACTTGATTTTCTGAAGAACAAGTTACAGGAACTGCTCAGTTTAAATGCCATAGCCAAGGATTAGTGTTTCATTCTTACACAAGGATGTTGGTACTACACAGTTAGCCACAAGGACCCAGGTGTTAGCCCTAGAACCCACAAAAGCCAAAAAGCTGAGTGCTCTGGTATACACTCTAATCATGACATTGGGGAAATGGAGACAGGAGGGGCTCACTGACTAGGGAATCTAGCTAAACAGGGCACTCCAGGCAGAGCAGAGAGACCCAGCCTCAAAACACACTGTGGAGAATGATTGAGGAAGCCATCCAACATCAATCTCTGGGTTCCATGTACATCAGCCTCCCCCCACCCTCCATCACACATAATCTGATCAAATACTAAGTGTTCAATAAAAATGAAATTTATAGGGCTGGAGAGATGGCTCAGTGGTTAAGAGCACTGGCTGTTCTTCCAGAAGTCCTGAGTTCGATTCCCAGCAACCACATGGTGGCTCACAACCATCTGTAATGAGATCTGGTGCCCTCTTCTGGCCTGTAGACAGAACAGTGTATGCATAATAAATAAATCTTAAAAAAAAAAAAAAAAGAGCTAGTTCCAGGACAAGCTCCAAAGCAACAGAGAAACCCAGTCTCAGAAGAAAAAAAAAATGAAATTTATAAACATTAAAATTCAGGGCCCTACAACACCATTTACTTGGGTAAACTATCAGTGAGTCCAGGCAGGTGGCCCTGATCAGCTTGTGCGTGTCAAGAGTCAGGCTAGCCATCCATCGTGAGGGTCACTCACACTCTGCTTTCAAAGTTCACACATGGGTTGTTCCTTCTCTGCTCCACTCCCCCATCCTTCACTGCAGCTCTCTGTCCTCCTCTAGGTTAAAGTTCTGCTGCACAGCCCTTTGGATCTGTTTACTCATGTGATCTGTGTGCTGGGAACAAGGTCTGCAATTACTAAGACATTTCTTCAACAGCTTCATGCTGCTCCCCTTACCTGCAAGGCTGCTCTGTTCTTCCAGGATACTGATGCAACTCCTCCCTTAACTAACAGTCAGAAACACAGGTTCTGTCCTGGAATTTAGAGATCTGTCTGCCTCTGCCTACCAAGAGCTATGGTTGAAAGTGAGTGCCATTACGACAGCTCAGAAACACTTTTAATACCTGTGCACTCTCAGACCCAGCAAAAACCAGAACCACACTGTCTGATGGAATCTGCGGTAAACAGGTGGGGAGGTCCGACGGACTTCCTAATGCACGGTGGACTACGTTAGTCTGGCCTCCATTTACCTGTTTCACCATGAACATCTTACCAGTAAAACACCTTTTCATTTAAACCGATTTCTAAGCAGTTACTTGGTTGACTTTTGCAAAACTCATCATGCACACTTGTGTGACAGTAATCATTTACCAGCCTTTCCCTTGTGGAAAATCAGTTAAGAGGCTGCTGGCCCATGCCTTCAACAGGCAGAGCTCTGAATTCCAGGCCAGCTTTGGTCTACCCAATGAGTTCCAGGACTGCTCAATGAAACACTAGCTCAAACAATAAATTAAAGAAACGAATAGGAAGGATCAGTATGCTCCAGACATCCTTTCTGATGACTAGAGTATACAAAATTCCCAAGGCAAGACAAGTAGTTTCTACTAACAAGTCCCTAACAAACACTACCCCCCTTGAACTTTTTGCTAATTTTGATCTCATGAATTTGAACCCTAAACTTAAGGAAATTTTCCAATATTTCTAATAAAACCCAAGTGTTCAAATACTTTCAAAATTATACCTAGACATTTCTAGTGACAAATACTAACATAGAATACATTATACTTTTAACTTCTGAATGGATCAGTATCATTTTGTTTTCCAAAAACACCTCTGACAAGTATTGAACTAAACCATTTGCTCCAGGCCCCCCCACCCCACCCCCAAGACAGGGTTTCTCTGTGTAGGCCTGGTTGTCTTGGAACTCACTCTGTAGAACAGGCTGGCCTTGGTCTACCTGCCTCGGCCTCCTGAGCGCTGGGATTAAAGGCATGAGAGACATTAACTCTATCCCTGGGGGTTTTATCCAAGAGGAAGCTCGGGATTTCCAGTGTCTCTATTTATTTATGAATAATGCACTGAACTGCTCATTCCCTCTCTAGGTCCATCGACTCTGGCCAATCACTGGCCGTCCCAGCAAAACCTCAGAGTATGGTGGTTCAAGGGTTACCTGTTCTCCAACCAGATCAAGCCGCCTTTACATCCCACAGACTCAAAGCAGTTCTTCCCAGCATCACTGCAGAGGGTGAAGGCAGGCACTCTACAGCGTGTTTTCCACCAACCCATGCAAAAGAGTAACTGCAAGTCTTTCTGCTCATCACACCTGGTTACTTGTTAGTCCCACCCCAACCCTGTACGGGACGCAGGCATTAAAGCCCCTTTGTTATAGCCACATCAGAATGATTCAAACCAGCAGACAGTCCAACATACACCTATCACGTACACTATACTTAGGGTAGGAATTTAAAAAACAAAACCAAATCAACCCACTGTTTAACCAAATCATCACATGAATCGGGCGGAAAGATTGTGAATTTAAAACTTAAAGAGGGGCTGGAGTGATGGTTTGGCGGTTAAGAGCACACTGGTTGCTTTTCCAGAAAACCTGGGTGCAATTCCCAGCACCCCCATGGTGGCTCTCAAACTTCTGTAACTCCAGTTCCAAGGGAATCAGACGACTTATTCTGACCTCCCTGGGTACCAGGCACGCACTGGAGCACAGACATACATGCAAGCTGAATACCGTACGTACAAAATAGTTTTTAAAGTCGGACGAGGTGGCATACGCCTCTAATCCCAGCGCTTGGGAGGCAGAGGCAGGCGGATTTCTGTGAGTTGGAGGACAGTCTAGTCTACAGAGGCTTCCGGGACTGCCAAGGCAACAGAGAAACTGTTTTGAAAAACAAACAAGCCGGGCATAGTGGCACGTGCCTTCAATCCCAGGACTCGGGAGGGAAGCAGAGGCAGAGGCAGGAGGATCTAAACCAAAAACTAGAGTCAGGCCCGGTTACTCGCATCTGTAATCCGCGCAACTCAGGTGGCCTAGAACGCTGGCGGATAGCTTGGCCAGTTCACCTAGAGCGAGTCCCCAAATTGATGAGGCTGGGGGTTGCAACTCAGCGGTGGAGCCCCGCAGCTTGCGCGAGGCCCCGGGTTCCACTCCCACTGCAAACTACAAAACTGCAGGCTGTGGCCCAGAAGCGGGAGCGGACCAACCCGGGACAGTGCAAGGCGAGGTGCCAGGCTGCTGCAAGCCACAAGCCCCCTCCGCCCTGCAGGCCTCCCCTCTCCTCTCCTCCTCCGGGTACCCCGCGGCCCCCCACATTCAGGTGCTCCCCGCAGCGTCCACTCACAGCCGTGCGGCCCGGTCTACTCGAACTGCTCCGGCACCTTGGTCCGGAAGCACCGGACCTACACAGGCCAGACTCGGCGCTCCACACTCCCGCCTGCCCCGCGCGGACACCGAGAGGACGGCAAGTGCGCCTAGAGAGGCCGCGCGCACCATAAAGAGGAGCCGGGAGCCGCCTAGAGAGGAGCCAGTGCGGCCGCCTCCGGAGGCGGAAGGTCTGAGTTTGGGGAAGAGGGGAGATGACTCAATCCAAAGCAAGAGTTGCTTCAGATGTTCGCCCTGGGGTGCTTGCGGCCTCCCGCGAGGATCGGGAGTTTAGGAAGCTCTTAGCAACCATGAGCTTCCTTAACCTCGTTTGCAAATCTGTCCTGTGCAGGTTACCAAACGTGTGCACCCAGGTACCCTCACACCTTGGAGGAGAGTTAGTTGAAAGCAACTCAGGAACCGACACCTACCTACCTACCTTTCTTTCTTTCTTTCTTTCTTTCTTTCTTTCTTTCTTTCTTTCTTTCTTTCTTTCTTTCTTTCTCTCTCTTTCTTTCTTCACTCTCTTTCTTTCATTTTCTTTCTTTTTTTTTTTTTTTTTTTTTTTTTT